AGCACTAGAAAAATATTATTGGACGTCGTGGCACTTGGACGTCGTGCAACACTCCCATTTTTCCAGAATTTCTCTAAATTGTCCAAAATTGTCTCAAAAAGTAATGTTTCATAAGTATAAATTGAGTAAAAGGTCATAAATTGGTAATTTTTAAATAACTTTTTAGAGGATTGGCGTGGTTTAAACCTTAAAATAATTCTTAATGCAGACTTTTGCAATTTAAATATTTGTTTAGTTTTTGATGAAGTTGAGCCCCATATAGGTATTGCATATCTAATATTGGAAATAATTAGCGAATGATACCCAGTGAGTAATGCGTCTTCACTACAGAACATAGACAATGTTCTTAGGATAAAAATAATTTGGGAAAGTTTTTACATAAGTGTTCAATATGTTAGTTGAAATTTAAATTTTGGTCTATAATAAGTTCTAGGAATTTGATTGTTTTTACATCTTCTATATGCTGTTCATCAATTAAAAATATTAAAGTTGAAATCTTTTAAAATTTTATCTCTGATTGAAAATTCCATAAATTTTGTTTTATTTACATTAATTTCTAAATGGTTTTCCATGAAACATTGTACTAGTTCATTTGCTTCTTCATAACATTTAATTACCAATTCTTCTCTATATTGGCTGGATGTCAATACGGTTGTGTCATCAGCAAATAATATTACTTCAGATAATTTTCTTGAATGTGTCACATCATTTATGTATATTATGAATAAAATTGGACCTAGTACAGAACCTTGTGGGACACCTGATTTTGTTTTTCTGAACTATAATATGTTACATTATTGTTATTATCAATAAATGGAATTTTGACTGACTGTTGCCTGTTACCAAGGTAAGATTCAAACCATTGTAGTGCAATTCCTCTTATCCCTATATTGTTTATTTTTGCGAAAAGTTTTTTATGACATTATCGAAGGCTTTTTTTAAATCCAAAAATAGTGCCATTACATTATTTCCATCAAGATGAAAGGTAATATATTTAATTACTTCAAATATAGCGTTTGGGCTGATATTTTCTTTTGAAATCCAAATTGATTTTTTGATAATATTTTATTTTATTTTTTGAAATGATAAAAGTCTATTCAGAATTATTTTTTCAAATATTTTACTGAATGAAGAAAGGATATAAAATAAGCTGTAGTGGAAATTAAAAAGTAAAGACTAGAAATAATGGGTACGAGTGAGGTACGTTGGAATCAGTTTGGAGAAATAAACGCTGATTTAAATACAACTTTTTAAATACAACATAACTCGGGGAAACCGAACGAAGAAGATGACCATAGAAATGGGGTTGGACTCCTGTTGAGAAACACTGCAAAAAAGGGCCTAATGGAATGGAAACACATTTCTGACAGAATAATAGTGGCAAGGTTTAGTTCAAATGTAAGAAATGTATCCATTATACGAGGGGTGTTCAATAAAGACTGACAGTACTCTTTTAATACCTTTAATATAACGGCTTATACTTTCACACTTGTATCTCCTTCTAAGTAGTCACCATTTAAAGCCACACACTTGTCCCAGCGCCTCTGCCACTCCTTAAAGACGTGTTCAAAGCCCTCCTTTGCCAGGACCTTCAAAATCGCCTCTAAAGCCTTAATAGCGGCAATAGTAGTTGGAAAACGGCGGCCTTTAAGCTCCTTTTTGGCCTGAGGATAGAGAAAAAAGTCATTTGGAGCCAAGTCAGGGCTGTAGGGTGGATGTGGCACAGTTTCGACTTCTTTTTTGGCTAGAAACTGAAGCACAGTATTGGCAACATGGGGGCGAGCATTGTCATGATGCAGTTTCCAGCGTCCAACAAGGTCAGGCCGTTTTTTGGGGATGTGATCTTTCATTAGTTGCTTCAATACTAAAATGTAGTACTCTGCATTAATTGTCTGACCCTGTGGTACAGTATGGGTATACACCATACCACGATAATCAAAGAACGTAATCACCATTGCCTTTGCAGCAGACTTTTGAGCACGAGGTTTTTTTGGCATTGGTCCACCTTTTTCCACCCACTCTGTACTCTGTTGTTTTGTTGCGGGATCATAACAATAAATCCAACTTTCATCAGCAGTAATAATGTTTTTCCACCATGCATCACCTTGCATCACACACTGTAACCAAAGTTGGCAAATTTCAACGCGATTTTGTTTCTGAACTGGTGTTAACAGACGTGGTATCCAACGGGCACAGACACGTGTCATATTCAAATGATCGTGCATGAGTGTATGGACACTGCCAATTGATATATCGAGCAGTATAGCAAGCTGTCTAATAGTCAAATGTGGATCAGTGTGAATCATAACACCCGCAGTGTTAATTGTTTCTTCGGTAAGGGCAGAAACAGGGGCGCCAGGCCCACCTTCCAACTCACATGATTCCCGTCCATTTTAAAAGTCTCTATGCCACATAAAACAGGTTCTTTCACTCATTGCATCATTACCAAAAGCTTTTTTCAAGTCGCTGTAAGTATCCGTAGCACTTTTCCTTAATTTTACACAAAACTTTATCGCATATCTTTGCTCACGAAAATCAGCCATAGTAAACCTTAGAGGCAAAAATTTGCAACTGTTTATGAATCGGATGCTATGACAACAATGCAACAATGCTATGATGTTAACAGCTGATTTCGTGGTTGCTAATACTTCAATCTTTCATACCAACTTATAAAAAACTAATTATTTGACTTTGTTTGTTTACAAGTAAGCTACTGTCAGTCTTTATTGAACACCCCTCGTACAATGTTATGCACCCACAGATCTAGCTGAAGAAAACGAAAAAGATCAATTCCATACAGAACTTCAAGAAGTTTTAAGAGGTGTAAACAAGAGAGATATTTTGATTGTTATGGAGGACTTGAATTCAAAAACTGGAAGTGACAATGTTGGATTGGAACAGATTATGTGGAAACATGGAATTGGAGTGAGAAATGATAATGGTGAAAGGCTCGTAGACTTCTGTGCTAGGAACGATTTAGTTATTGGAGGCACAATATTTCCCCATAAGAACTGTCATAAGGTATCATGGGTTTCTCCTAATTACATTACAGAAAATGAAATAGACCATTTTGTCATTGGAAGAAAGTGGAGGAAACTTGATGTCAGGAACAAACGTGGAGCTGACATAGGAAGTGACCATCATTTGATGATTGCGAATATCCGACTAAAAATTGCTCAGTCAAATCAGCGGAAAGAACAACAAGAAAATTTGACACCCTAAAGCTAAAAGGGACACAGCACAAGGAAAACTTCATGATCGAGCTGCAAAATAGTTTTGAAGCTTTAGGCTCTATGGATGACTCAAGTATAGAAGAACATTGGCTTGGTATAACAAACACGTATACGAATACTTTAAATGATGTTTAAGGCTTAAAGAAGGCAGGGAAGAAAGATTGGATGTCTGAGGACACGTGGAAAAAAAGTGGAAGACAGAAGAGAAGTTAAGAATAAGATAAACTCTTGCAAGACCAGAGGACAAAAGAGGGATATGAAGATACTCTATAAGGAATCAGTTGTAAAAGTGAAGAGAAGTGCAAGGACTGACAAATGAAAATGGATGAGCGAGCTGGCGGAGAAGGCTGAAGAGGCATCTAGGAAAGGAGATATGAAAGAACTATACCGGGTATAACATAACAAAAAAATTGTTCAAGAGAAAAATTAATGTAGGTAGACCAGTAAAGGATAAGGAAGGTAAACTTTTAACAAGTGATCATGAGCAGATAAAGAGATTTGAGACTATTTGAGACATTGGAGGATGATGGAAATGTTGAAGGTGACCTGGTAGGAAACATAGAAGGAGAAGAAGAAGAAAACATAAATATAAATCCCCCAACGGAAGATGAGATCAAACAAGCGATAAAAGAAACAAAATACCCCCGCCGCAGCAAACCTGCAGACTAAGCGAATTTCAACTAATCTGATTACATTTTTACTAAAATATTTCCATAAATAAGATATTTATTCCCTATTTAAATAACATTAGATTTAACGAGTGCTTAGGTTTGCTGCTACAGGGAAGGTAAAAAGTGTTTTTGATCAGACGTCAATAGTATAGGATGAAATAAATAAATTTGCAAAATTTTATCAATATATATTAATAAACAAGTAAACTACAACAATTGTAATTTTCTCCATAAGAATAACACGGGAATTTTAAATTACACTATTTTTGAATTTTCTCCGTTACCATTAGGCATACAACAGCGCTTCAATATACTAAACTATTTCTTTTTTTAGCTCTACAAAACGGTTTAAAAAGAAATTGGATTTTTTTTTTGTTTTTAGGGTCGGGAAAACCCCATTTTTACCCCATAAAACCCCGTTCCCATGGTCCGATTATGCTGGATCGCGAACTCGTTCGAATAAATGTAGGCTTACACGTTTGTAGCAAATTGCATCAAAATCGGATCATTTTTGCTCGAGTTATCGCACTAACGAACACACACACACACAATGACATCACTTCAAAAACCACTTTTTTGTATTCAGTGGGACCCGAAACGGATACAGTATAACCACTCATACCTCAAACTCGAAATTTTTGACGAAAACGATACTGTCTCCATTTAGGTACTATTTATGTAAGAAAAAAAGTTTTGGCATTATAAACAAGAAATTACTAACTAATAAGATTTGCTAAATTTACAATCCGAGTTTGTGTTCGGAGGTAAGCTGTACCCTTTACCAACAGTTTGTTAAATTCTTCAGTTACTGTATAGTTAAATATTCACTCTTGATTTCTAGACCAAACAATATTTAAAAAAAAAATAGAATTGTGTTGAGCAAATACCGTTGGAGATAAAGTTTAGGTCATGAGCGTAAGCAAGTTTTGTTCCTAGTCCAAGACGAATGGTATGCAAACAAAGTTTGTCGTGCTGGGTATCAACAGTGTGGTGGGCGGTGGCTGATGTTCGCAGGTAGAGTAGTAGCGCTTTGTCCAGCACGATCGAACCCACCTACACTAACACTACCCTTGTCCTCCACCACTAGAGCTGTGCGCACCCTGGCAGCAACACCTAGCGATGCCTCGCGGCCTTCAGGTATGTCGATACGTCTCAAACTACACTATTAACAACAATAAAAACTGTATTACTATCATTATCAACTTTTGACGGTTGTCTATACCATATTCAACTTTATGTTGTTAAGTATCGTCTTACAATTAGTAACTATTTGTACATGTTGCTCTTAGTTTCCAACTATTGTTGCTCACAATAGTTTACTTTTTAACTAGCAAGAGTTAACAAGCTAAATTTGACACTTAGGTTAGTGATATATGACGGTAAATAGAAATATGTATATTTTCCAATTGAAATGATTTGATGGGTGATTCAAGCTGCAATGAAAGTGCTTAAAACTAAAGACAAATTATGGTAAACCCGTAATCTAAAAATTCATACTCTGTATTTTTATAATACTACGTATTTCTCTAATATTTACGATATTTAATGTAGTTTAATGTGTCTATGGCGTAGGTGGGCTTTTTATTTTGCAATAACGCTTGCACAAACTAAAGACTAAGCACTCAATATTCACCATACGAAACTAGTAAACTAAGTAGTGGATGGACATCATTATTGAATCATCGCCATCGCAATCGTCCAAACATACTTAAGGTAGAGAAATGAAAAACTCGCCGATTTTATAATTAAGTAAATCCAAGTTTATGCCCATATCGTTAGTTTCTAATTCCAAAGACTTTGAACCATCATGAACGACAGTTTTACGAGTGGTGATACCGAGACCCAAAATATCGCGTTAAAAACTGATTGTTTAAGTCATGTGTGATAAGCTTAGTCAACAACGAAACTGACATCTTATTCATTGAACACACAACCTTCACTCAACCCTTTAATGTGTTGGCGTCACTGATCTAATGAAAGCGGTAACTAGCTCATGTATTAAATTAATATGAAACCAAGAAATGTGAAGAAATTAAGTTGGAACTATTTATTTATAATTTCACATGTCAAAGTCTCGATGAAATAAAAAAGAACTTCGAGAAAAAAAATCTAAACAAATTTTGGCATATGTGAGATAAGTTTTAAACACATGCAAAAAGTAACACTTAAAAGACTGTGAATTGTGTGTAGTAAATACTGGTGTACAGGCAGCGTATCTTGATTTGCACACGCATAGCCTGCGGCTATAACAACAATATAATCGCGTATCGTAGAATAACAGCTAGCTGAGAGAGGGCTTATTTTCATATCCCATTGTATACGTTTTTATCAACAGGATAAAATAAATTACATCTTTAAAATATTGCTCTCATCTCATCTAGATTATGTGTAAATAAATTATTGGTTTTTCAAAAACCTCTCAGCTTATATTTCACCGTTAAGGAACCATTATTAATCTGTAGTTATGCAATTCCGTTGTTATAAACTATTTATCGTACAAAGACTAGATATTTTACAATTAATTAAAATTTAGTCAAATTTTGCTAAAAATGTTAAATCACAGACAATATAATACTCTAATACGTCTGGGTTTATTCCATTGTCTGTGGTTAAATAGTTTGAAGTTGAAGTTTGAACGTGTGAAGTTTTAGCGCGAATTAACGCCTTTATGATCGTGGATCATCGTTTGGATGATAGGTTATAATTTTGCAAGTCCAAAATAACAATGCAACATTTCAGTTGTTTGATGTTGTTGAAATCGTGTAATAACACATAGATTTGTACAGTATGTTTATCTATTGGGTTTATGTATTGTATTTATGTTTATATTGACTTGATGTTTATCTACATAGTTTGTTTGGTTATAGCCCTAGATATTTGAACAAGAAATAAATAATTAATGAATCTAGAATCCTCTAGAGCTCTTTGGAGTTTCAAGTAGGAGGTTGGATTTTTATGTTCACACCACGTGATTTTGAAAAGAGAATGCCAATTGACGAAACGTTTTCAAATTCTTACTGACGATTTGGGATTCTTCTATCGCGTGGGGTAAGATAACCACAACTATATACAGTATATACACACAAATTTCGCTTCGCTCAGTTTCACAAGGGTCCCCGACTCGTTCTCCCCTCACGCATTTCCAGGCTCGCTCCCTACCCTTGGTTTGTTTTGTCAATAAACGTGCTTTCTAATTCACCACAAAACAAAGCAGAGAGTGTAAAAGAGTGTTCCTACAGTTAACCGACAAAGTGGGCTTTCATGTACTGATAAGCATGCAAAGTAGCTAAATGATGAATTTGCTTACTTTTGCCGCACTCATTTTTGCGACACTCCAGTATTCCAACCAGTTTTAACGAGGAGAAACATATTAAATAACTGATAATACATTATCAGTGGCATTAACAGACATTATGAGAGAAAATATACAAAATAAAAGAGAAATTAATGTTAATGATGAATGAATGACATGTAATATTACAACACCTTTAGCACTTAAAAATCTAATTACAGCGCGCACTTCTCAGTCGGCGGCAGTCTCAATTAATTGGCGGCACCATTTTGAATGCTCGAAACCGGTTGTAAACACGGCCGATTGTTCTCGAATTTCCGGCTATGTCTTACCAATAGATGCCCATACACAGCGCAAATGTCGAAAATGCCAATCGCAGTGCTGGAACGGAGAAAACTTAAAAACGGTACTTACTTAAATGAGTGTAGCTACTGTTTGCAAGCTTCGTGTGTCAACAATTTTCTCTTGTTTAAAATCGTGCCACTTTGCTCTGGAGTTTGTGAAATTTGGACATTGTGAAACGGTGATTATTTGAATGTTATAGATTTGGAGCTTATGAAATTTTGACATTATGAAACGCTCTGTTTATTTAATATATTTGTATATTTACTTTGTGAATTAATCATTGTAGTTTGTGAAATTTGGACATTATGAAACCCTCTGTTCATTCAATATTTTAAGCGTTGGAGATTGTGAAATTTGGAGATTATGAAACGCTCCCCCTATAACGGTCTATGTTGTTGTTGTACTCGTATCGATGACTATACTACTGAGCGAAGGCCTGGGTCACAAGGCCAATATAGAGACAATGCAAGAAGCACATTGATTGATGTGCTTCCCTCACACTAAATCATTTCGCCAAAGGTTTTCTGTTTCATATTTTTACATTGAACGTCGAATTGAGCGTTTACATCTACGTTGAACCATTCCAGGATCAACAATTGTCTATTGTTATTTCAATATCGTTTGGGAATTGCTGCAAAAACGTTTTGCAATGTTTGGTGTATCAAAATTGTAGTGAGAAATGTTCTACTCTTTAAGTTAAAGAGTTTTTAGCGAATTTCCCATATAGGGAATAAGCTATTACCGTAGTACTCATGGTAAGACCTGGACGCGGGACCGATTTTTTTTTCGTTTTGAGGTCCCTAGAGGCCAAAAACACCATCCGCTCAAATTCATATATATATATATATATATATATGTGTGTGTGTGTCCGTCAGCGCGATAACTCGAGCAAAAATGATCCGATTTTGATGAAATCTGGTACAAACGTGTAAACGTACGTTTATTCGAACGGGTTCGCGATCCAGCATGATCGGACCATGGGAACGGGGGTTTACGGGGGGTTTATGGGGTAAAAATAGGTTTTTCCCATTTTTGACCCAAAAAACATAAAATTTAGCAATTTATTTCCAAACCATTTTGTAGAGCTTAAAAAAACTAATAACTTAGTATATTGAAGCGTTATTATGCGCCTAATGGTTACGGAGAAAATTCCAAAAAATTGTAAATTTAAAATTCCCATGTTATTCTTATGGAGAATAAGTAAACTGTTGTAGTTTGCTTGTTTGTGAACATATTTTGATCAAATTTGGAAAATGTTTTTATTTCTTACTAACTATTCACATTTTACAAAAAAAAACAGTTTTACCCTACCTGATGCAGCAAACCTAAGTACTTGTTAAACTAATTCTATTTAAATCAAGAATAAATGTTATATTTTTAAGTAGACATTACAGTGTAAATCCAATCAGTCAAATGGAAATTCGCTTAGTCTGCAGGTTTGCTGCGGCGGGGGTATTACTGTTTTTGTACCATCCCCTTTCTAACTTAACAACTCCTATGTACGGTAGCCTATATTTCTATTTTGAATACGTTCCGTCATAGTTGCTCTGTTTTGAATTAATTTGGGTTGATTTAGTTTAGTGTGTCCGTCCTACGATACGGGGCGGTCGTAATGTGGTACGCTACTGACATGCACTTCCACACTTCGACGTAGTTTTGCGACACACAGTGCCGTTACATTATCTATCAAGACATTAATTGCGTGTGCTACAGCGATCACATACTGTAAGACCATTAGATGGAGGATTCCGTCTCCTGAGCGCAGAGTCTCCCCAGCGCCGAGCAGGCTATATGGCATAATCTGATAGTTTTGACAGCCGAATTGGAATTCACAAAAGCAACGAACTGCGGTAAAGGCGTGTACCCAATTGAGCATTGTAGACAATCAGCACTGGAATGACATAATATTCCATTGCAGACATAATTCGTTTCGAATTCTAAATTAAAATTTAATGGATATTTTTTAATTCAGCTTACCAACTCTCGTACTTTTGAGATGTTCGCACTTAATCTTGAATGATTAACCAAACCTAACCTAACCTAACCTTTACTGCTTCACAGATTAAACTCATCGATACCATTTTAAAATAGAAGGTCACTGAGCAGACCCTTTGGTAATTTATGGCCTCGGCGCTGGGGATACTCATTTGCCCTCGGCGCTCGGGAGACGCAACGTAGATGGTGCACTATAGTTTGACAAAGCAACGATCACATACTGTACACAAGTTCCAAGTCTCGTGCGCTCTGGAGGATTAGAGCGACCCTTACTCGTATTCTTTGAAAGATGTAAAAACTGTTTTGGAAAGAGTGTCGGATGCATTATAGGTCGTTGAGCTGTCGTGCCATATCGTCCAAGTTTTATCTTGTTCCAATTCCACAATCGTAGTGTGAGGAGTTAATCCTAGTGTTATCTCGTAAAAAACATGGATTGCATAACAAATTAATTCAACTCTCAATCTAAAACTTCACGTTTACAAAACTTGCCTGTCCTAAAGATAAC